AAAAAAAAAAAAAAAAAAAAAAAAAAAAAAAAAAAAAAAAAAGTGCCCTCCACAAACATTCATGACTTTCCTTTGTTTCTTTGTCCCCAAGAACTCAGCTGGAGTCAACAGTACTAGGGAAAATGTCCTTATCCCAAGGCAAAAAAAAAAAAAAAAAAAAGCAGCACCAAAACAACAAAAACATTAAGAATTTATTTGAAAAACACATGAGAAAATAAAAAATAATAAAAAAAAAAATCTCTGAAGAACTGTTGCTTAACTTGGAACCAGGAATATCCTAGTCCAAAAAGGAGTTAGTACACTGTGTCTGGGGCCATGTATGAGGGAGGATTGGTACAGAAGACTTCAAGAGCAAGCTGGGAAAAGGACTGCTCATTCCTGCTGCTTCTTCCATTAAATAAAGGCAACACAGAATCACAGAATGGCCTGGGTTGAAAAGGACCACAGTGATCATCTAGTTTCAACCCTTGTGCCTTTTTTTTTTGTGTGTGTGTGTGTGTAGGGTCGCAAACCACAAGAAGAGCAAGCCAAAGCTGGCACAACTGACATAGTTTAGAGTGAACAGGGTTAGAGCTGCTCTCGAAAGAGAGAGAAATGCAAAGTTTTCCATGCTCAAAGCCACAGAGGTAAACCTAATACCTACCAGCAAAAAAGTAATAGTTAAATTTATGATACCATCTAGAAACAGACATAAGTTATTGCATTCAGTGACATAATTAAGACTTAAAGCTTCAGGCAGTGTACTTAAGGCTTTCAAAAACTTCATTCATTCATTTACTGACCAGGTGTCTCACACTACCACAGCTTTAATTACTCAAAGGGGTCCTCAGCGAACTTATAAAAATCAATTAAGGTTAGCTTGGGCACCGACTCGTACGTTAGGCGTAACGCGAGGTTTTGCTGTATTTAGTCATAGCTCACTTCAACACGTGACAAAAGGAGCTGTTGGGAGCGTGGAAGCACACTGCAGACAGATAGGTCTCGTCTCCTAAGAATAACAGGAAGCTTACGCAGAAAGGAAAACAAGAGCCAAGCACCAGATCCCCCCAGGAGCGCTCCATTCGGATTAAGACACGCGCAAAACCCGGAGCGCTGCACCGAGCGCCTCATCGCGACGCGAAGGGACCCGGACCCGGTCTGAAGTCATTATACACGCTGCTCCATCGCATTCCTCAACACCACAATTTGATAGGGAGCTTAAAGAGAGAATCTGCAGGCGAACGCAATCTGCTATCAACAATACCCTATTAGCACGGCCCTATCTTTAATCTAACAGGCACGATAAGATGCCCCAACACACATAAGCCCCGCTCAAACAGTGACTAATGACCATTAATCCTCTCTATCTCCACAGCCATCTCTCCTTCTCCCATTTATCACGCTGACACTCCACTTTACACACATGGATAAACTTTAACCGAGGATGGAGGCGAGGCAGACCCCGTCCCAGCAGCGGCCCTTCGCACACGGTAACGGCGGCCGCGGGGCAGGGGCGCGATACCTGCGGCCGCTACCCGCTCCGAGCCTCGGCCGAGCGGAACGAGCGGGAGGAGGGAGCCGCTTCCCGCCGCCCCCACCGTCGGGGCGCGCCCAGCGGCCCTCCCCAGCCCACGCGCCGCGTCCCCACCCCCGGCTCCAGCCGCCCCTGCGCCCCGCCGGCGGAGCCGGGACGGGAAGCGCGGAGAGGTCCGGTGCAGCCCGTTGCCACCCGCCGCAGTCCCGCGCCCTTCGGCTCTCCCGCCGGCGGCGGTTACCTGAGGCGAGGCAGAGTAATCCACACAGGTAAAAGTGAGCAAACTCCGCGACCATTGTCCTCAGGTGGCGCCTGCAGACAGTCTCATGCCAGAAGAGCCCCCACTTGTAATCCCACAGCGGCTCGACGCGACCGAGGCTCCGTAATCCCGCGGCGCTCGGCACTGTCACACCCGGGTGCTGCGGGCGCACGCCGGCCCCGCTCTGCTCTCTCTCGGCCCGGGCGTTCCTCCGTGACACTTCCCAGGACCATCCACAAAGACGGCAGAACACAAAAGAGCCTCGCTTCTCCGCAGCCGCCGCTCACGAGTTGCTCCTCCGGCCCGAGACTTTGTTCGGTGCCCGGGACGCGCACAACAAAGAGCTCCGGGTGCGACGCGCACGTAGCGGCTCCCGCTGCCCTCCTTCCCGCGAGTCACTGAGCGCGGGGCTGGAGGCGGGCAGAGCGCGGCGGCGGAGCGGCGGCGGCCCCCGCTCCCATCACGGGGGAAGGCGGCGGGGCGGGAGCGTCGGGGGCCGCACTCACGCAGGGGAGCCCCGGCGGCAGCTCCCAGCCCTGCCCAGCATCGCCGCCGCCCCCTGCACGCGGGAACCACACGCACGCCCCTTCCCCAGCGCCGGAGAAGGGCACAAGAGGGGGGCAAGTTAAGAAGGAAGGAAGCGAGAAGGAGCAAAACTTCCCCGGGCGGACGCCCCCACCCACCCTCGGTGCGGCGGCGGCGGCGGCGGGAGGAGGAGGAGCACTGCCCGCCTGCCCCTGAGCAAGCTGCTCAACTTTCTGCTGTGACGCTGAGCCACCCTGGGCTTTCCCGCCCGGCCCCCGCAGCTCTGCTGCCACCGCGGGACACCGCGAAGGCGCCGCACCTACACGGCTCCGCACCCAGCGCAGCGCACCCGGCAGCCCCCGCCCCGCCCCGCCCCGCCCTACGCAGCCCGCCCCGCCCCCGCAGAAGGTACGGCGCGGGGCGGTGCCGGCCCGCGGCGGGCGGCCGAGGTGCCCCGAGCAGGCGTAAGCTGCTCCCGGCAGCGCCTCGGCGTGGTGTCGGGCTGCCTTGGGGCGGGGGACAGCGGCCTGAGGCGGGTGGGCAGCAGTGTTCGCAGAGCAGCTCCCGCTCCAAACTCAAGAAAACGTATAAAACCCTTCAAGCGTCCAGGATCCCAAAGGCTTGAAATAGCCTCTAGTTTGTTGAGGCCTCGTTCGTGATTACTGAAAGCGTGGTTTGCAATTGCTGGGAAATCCTGCAGGGTTACACACCCTCATCCCAAGGCAGCGTGGCCCCACGCTACATAATGCCTTTAGGGCCAAGGAGCCCTGCTTTCCCGTCACGGCTTCCCTGATTATTTCCCTTCCCTGTCCCCTGCCATAATTATCAATTGCGTTCTCAGGCGGCATAACAAATACAGGTCTATGTAGTCAGATAGAGCGTGGCCTGATATTCCCAATGGGGCAGTGCGGCTGTGGCTTGTCAAATGATCCTTGGCAACAAGGCCTGGCTGTGCCACAGGCATAGGCCAAACATCCGGCATAAGCCTTATCAGATTGCTGTTCTGCAAGTAAGTGCAAGGCCAAGTCCTGCACAGAGGCCTGTGAGCTGCCCTACACCATGATCAGTGTGGTGTAGCCCCTATGGGCTTTATCTGGTGGCACAAGAGTTAGTGGTGGCGCAAGGAGGCTTAACGCCGTAGGTGGAAAGGGTAGGGCAGCTTGGAAGAAAGTCTGCTATCAGACAAGCCCAACATATGGCAGTACCATCGCTTTACAGTAATGCTCCATGTATTTCTAGGATTGATTCATTAAGTTGCAAGGAATGAATGAGATGTAAAAAATAAATTTAATTTCCAAGAAACATGTTGAAGATATTAACCCCATTACAAATGAGTCTTTTCTTGCAGCGAGATAATAAAACTCCAGAGCAAGAACCTTACTGTATTTCCTGTAGTAGGATTTATATGCACCCTGCGTTGTTATCAGCCAAACAGATTCTGACGGTCACAGCCTCCATCAGTCACGTCACACCCATGACAGCATGCCATGAAGTTTGCCCTGTTTTACCTCCCTCACTGTGGCATAGGAGAAAAAGTCCAACAAAAAAGGTTCTTGTAAGTGCACTGAAACTATGTTAGTCTACTTTCCACAGTGAGCACCTCCCCTCTTCAGAGGGATTTCTTCAAGCTGTACCTCACCAACAATATTTCCTTCAGCTCAAACACTGTCCTCACACAATCATTCTGTGCCTTATGAAAGACAACTTAAATTGCACCTCCAGAATTAAAACACACAGCAAGAACATGGAGTAGGTCCTGGATAATCCCTGAACCCTAATGAAAAGTCTGAGATTTCGATGAATTCATTTTTGTTTTGTTTTGAGCAAATAAATATGAGTCACATGCAGGGCTGAAAAGAAGTCTTAGGAGGTCATGTAATTCACCTCCCTGTTCCAAGGCAGGGTCAGATATTTAGACTCTCAACAGCAAAAGTATTTTAACCTCATTTATAAAAAATTCTGATGACTGGGATCTCATATCCTCTTCAAGTCTCTGTTCCAGTTCCTGTATAGACAGAACTGCCTTGGTGCCCAGACTATCTAGTCTCCAGGATGAAAAAAAAGAAAACAAGACCACCACAGATAAAATTCTGAGGGCACTTCTGTTACTCCTTCTGTAGTGATACTACTATCAATGCTTGACAGGCTCACTTTTCTTGTGCTGGATTACGTATTTTAATCTATTGCTTCTCTCAAAAAAGGCAAAACTGTGATTCTGCAAGCAGGTCACTCTACAAGGAGTTTACATATTCTGTGAATGTGCATATATTCATATAATTGATGTATACATATATCCATTTACTTGTATCATTTTTAGGTATTTAAATGAAGCTGTAAATACTCCACATAATCTTAAAAAATCATTTAAGTTCATTTATATGATGTATATATGGAATATCAACATAAATGAATCCATTTACTTTATATCTGGTTGTAAGCATATATGCTGTAGAGAAAAGGTAAATAAAGTGTTTACTAATTCTCTACTCAAGATAAATCTATTTCCTTTATACTGGTGAAATAACAAGCATCTAGATCCATGCACTCTTTTTCTCAGGTCATGCAAAAAACAGGCAGGTAATGCTGTACTGAAGTCTTGTATTCTGGACGTTAATTTTCTTTCAGATACAGTGGTATTCTAAATACAGAATCACAGAATCGCAGGGGCTGGAGGGGCCCCTGGAGGTCATTCAGTCCAACCCCCTGCTAAAGCAGGTTCCCTACGGTAGGTTACACAGGAAAGCACATGGGCAGGTTTTGAATATCTCCAAAGAAGACTCCATAATGTCCTCTGGGCAGCCTGATCCAGAGCGCTGTAATCCACAAGAGTGGATTAAAGCTCTGAAGCTTGGCTGGCCTTAGCGCTTGATCATGAGGTGAGAGTAAAAGAAAGCATTTTAAGTGTTTTGTGCCTCAACTGCCCTGTCTTTAACAGAGATGCGAGATAGTTGATATTGCTGTAAGGAAATCTTTATCCTTTGAGACTTGTGAATCCATTGTACATTAGGCACCCAGAGTGAAAGTACACCAGAGCTTCCAAAACTTGTTCTGTTCATACTCTCTCAAATACTCCTCAGCACAATGGTTAGCTGTCAGTGTTTTCTTACTTCAGAAAAATTAATGGGAGTGGATATATACTGGTCTAATTATCTTTTTTAATTCTTTTAGATTGTAATAATGTATAACAGCTGCACAGTTCAGTGAATCTCTTCAAATTGTAAGCCTACAAAACTTCATTAGAATATCTTATAAGTAATTGACATCTTTAATTCTGCAGATGTTCTTACAAAACGTGTGCTATTAGAGCATCCCTCTTGTCCTTGATGCTGAGATGTATGTATATACGTATATATCTGTAAAACTACATTCCATTTTAGAGTTTATCAATGGATAATTTTCATCCCAAAAAGCACAGAGAGAATTAACACATTTCTTTTGACAAAGTCATGTATTTAAGCGGATTTTAAAAACACAGGTAAATTCTGAGACTTTAGAAAATAAAATGTATGCATTTGATTGTACAATAACACCCATCTACTGCATTCACTGCAGTGGAATATTAGCTCCAATTTCTAGCATTTAACATTTTTATTTAAATTTCTTACAGCACTGAATATATAACAGTTGAAGGGCTGGATTTTTGGTTTAATATTTATGTTGTTACAAAACCCCATCCATATTTCAAACTTACATGGATACATACGAGGGCTGCTCCAAAAGTAATGCCTCCTACATTATTCTGTTGGCCCACAACGCCAGAGGCAGACGTTGGTGATATGGCAGTAGAGGTTGGGCCTTCCTGACAATATTCCGTTACAGTTTGTTGCCATGTGCCAAATGGCAGCAGAGGGGCAGTATGCCTGTGCACAAATTTACATATTCTGCCTGTGTTTGAGACACTGAGCTCTGACTGGAAAAGCTCTAAGGTTCTCTAGAAATGATAATTGTGATTCAGCAGATGGCACTCTTTCCTCAAAGTGACTGAAATCAGAGCTGCCTCTGACACAAGAGAGAATGTGCTTTTAGAGATTATTTATTCCACATTACTCAGAAGAACTTGAATTTTTGTAACTACTTAAGATCCCAGCTTGCTTTTCTCTAAAGGCATCATACGTACATCTTGTCTTGGTTGTGATACGGGGCCAACTTTACCCTCTCTACAAAAACCTCTTTGAACTTCAAGTGACTCTTACCTTCCTGGTCTTAAAACTACCACATTGCCTTCCAGTTATCTCCATGAGCTAGCTGCCAGGAATACTTCTGTGAGTACGTGTGTACATTATACAATCACATCTGCACATGTATGCATATATACACACAAAATTTATCATTCTAAGCATTCTGAGGCTGGCAACAAGTATGACATTATTTTATATGGTACAATTAAGCTTTCACAGAGAGCTAGTTCAGATAAGAGTGTGTTGTTAGTTGTCCTTTAGATTATTGTAAAGATGTCTGTACAAATTATTCTATTTTCACAGCAGTTTTTTTTCAAGATTTTAATGGTACCTGGTTCAAGGCTTTGGGTCTGTTTCCGTATGATCAGGCTACAGATTCAGGAATCCCACAGAGGGAGCCAATGCTGTTTTTCCATTTACCTACAGTAACTCATTTCACTCAGAGTAATTCATGTAATTCCATGTGTATTTTCCTTTTTCTCTTCCTTTTTTTTTTCCTCTATTTTTTTTTCCCAGTTAATCTCTCAAAAGTCTGCAGTTGTATAATAAACTGGGATTATTAATATGTTTAACAAAAAACGTTGTGACTTCCATCTCAGTATTAGTCAATTTATATCTCTTTCTTGACCTGAATGGTCACTGTTTAAACATGATATACAAAGAAATAATT